ATTAAAAATAAAATTTAAAAAAATGTAATCAAAAATTAAATTAACAAACATTTAAAGAAAAAAATTACGTGTACCTGCGTGCACCGTAGGACCAACGACCAGGACGTAGGACCAGGACGTAGGACCAACGACCCGTAGGACCAACGACCCGTAGGACCAGCGACCCGTAGGACCAACGACCCGTAGGACCAACGACCCGTAGGACCTAAGAACGCAGGTGGGTGTGTGAGAGGGGCGAGTAGCACGCTCCTAGCGGTGGAATAGCAAACTTGCGGATGCAGATGGACGCTCGGGTCACCTTCACAAAATAAAAAAATTTTGACGAAATTTCCCTGTGAAAGTACAGTGGACAGGACAGAACAGCTTATACTGCCGACAGTTGTATATGCGTAATTTAATTGGTGCATGAATGTTCGAAACTTTACGGTCGATTATGCAGCTACTCGTATTCCTGGCTACATTCTTCGTGACTAGAGTCTATCTACATATAAATAGATCCATCTCTCAAAAAATAAACTATGTGTTTGACTATAGCCGCGTTCACACGGAGCAATTTGTCCCGGGTCGAAACCGATCCGGGCTAAATTTGTCCCGGGCCAAGCGTTCACACGGACGTTTCTCGGTACATAAGTGATCCGTGCTATTTTGTCCCGGATCGATTTTATACCCACTACAGAGTTGGGGAAAATGATCCGAGCGCTGATTCATTTTTGCCGTGGGAACGTGCACGGACACACGACACGCGACAAAATTAGTACGGAGGTAGATGTCGTCAGTGTCGACTTCCGCTTTACTTCCGCTTTACTTCCGCATTTCTCAGTTTCTACACGCGCGTTTTTCAGTATTTTCATTGAGTTAATATATCCGTCAAAATGCCCAAAAAAAGCAGCAGAAAGCGTTGATCGACTGTGGTCTCACGACGACAACGTCGCTCTTCTCGAGATTTAGAAATCGGATTTTATACAGGCGCAGTTAACAGAAACTTCGAGAAATCGTCTATCCTACCAAAATATTGTTGAAAAACTGGCTGAGCGGGGGGTAGTTAAAACTGTACAACAAGTTAATAATCGGCTCAAACGGTTAAGAAATACTTATAAGAAGGAGGTAGACACGAACAACAGATCAGGAAGGGCACGAACAACGTGCAGTTAATTCAAGGAATTGGACGAAGTGTTGGGAAGTCGTGTGAACGTTCTCTTCAAAATCGACCCGTATCGTTTTTGATCCGGGTCAGTCTCGGATCGTTTTCGATCCGGGACAAATTGCGCCGTGTGAACGCAGCGTATGCTGCGTTGATATGTGGTTGATCACGAACAAAGCATTGTACAAGTATCGAGCTAAAGACACTGTTAGTGAAGAGTTAAGACACTGTTAGTTAACAATAGAAACTAGTCTATTGAAGCAGTATCTATCTGATCGTAAGTAAATATTTGTTCAGAAGTTAAAGATTCGGTAGATACGTACGTTAATTAAAATTCATCATTGCTGTATAGTCAGTATTAAGAGCTGATTATACGTATAGCTCTTATACTATCATCTTATTATATATATATATATATATATATATATATATATATATATTATCATAAGCTTTATTATACTTAGCCTTTGTATTATTAGCTCGTGTTACTATGTATGAGCAGCGCATGCCCCAGCTTGCTGCTATAGCGACGCAATCGACAACACAGGCGTTTTACTACAACACGAGCGAAACTAGCATCCACGCGTGCTCCCCGGTTTTCATCGTTTGACATTAATCGATAAAAACACGACTTTCGCCGGCGAGCGTGTCACGTGCGCTTAAAGCCCGTCATTATCATCAGGTGCTTTGCTTCTCGTCTTTATTGATGAAATAATCGGCGCAAATATTGCTGAAAATGGCGCACTACTTTGTCTAGCATGCATTATCGTCGGCGTAACTCGTTTAGTTCGCGCGGGGGCTCATTAACTACACCCCCGGGCTCAGCTCATCACGTCACAACGCTATTAATTACCGATCACGTTTTGTCCCATCAAGCCGGCTTCCAGCAGATCATACCAATTGCTTCACTGGCAACCCGAGAATCCTGCACATCGGCCGCGCGCACTGTGTACGACAAAAGCCCCATCGCATCGCATGCCCTTGTCAATCAATCCCACGTCCCATAGTCGTTTGTAACGAAACAGCAAGGGCGCCACTTAATCGCTTTTATTAAGTGCTGATAGCATACTTGATTGGTATGCCGTTAACAATGCAGTGCTAAGGACACGCGATCTGTCGAAAGTGCTGAACGTACCGTCGTAATACCCCGTCACACTGGACGGCGACCATCCGCGACCGTACGGCGACCAGAAAATGTACAAGGTCGCCGGCTAACGCGAACACAACGCGAGAAAAAGTCCCAACAAATTACAAACTTGAAAAAAAAACCGCGCTCTTACCGCGACCTGTGCGATCATACCGCGTTCTCACGGCGCGCCCGCCACGACCTCTCCGCGCTTATGGCGTTTCTATTGAGATCTATGGGCTTGGCAACGGCGATCACCGGCGTTCCCGCGGCGCTCCCACCACGCTCATGGGGTTCTTACCACGCGTCTTCTACGTGTATCGCGACTGCACGGCGACCTCACGGCGTTTCTACCACGTTCTCACGGCGACTGTATAAGCTGGTCAGATTTTCGGAAATTTTAACTGTATAGTTGTGCGTTTGCTGAGTAGAAACGATGTAGAACACGAACCGAATGTAGAAACGAAGTAGAACACGATGCCGAAGAAACAAGCTACCAGAGGCCGAGGTTGTGGCCGTGGCCGAGACAGATCGGCATGAAACAGATCGGCAGATCGGATAAGACAGATTCATGAATTCGCCGTTGAAAATGTTACCATTTTCGCAGCGTCTTTGCCACGCGTGTACTGCGCGTGTACTACGTTTATGGAGATGTTACGACGCTTGTCTCACGACCTTCGCGACCCCACCGCGTTCTCACCGCGTTCCAGGTCAGATCGCCGAACCTTGGTGTTTGTTTTGAACATGCTCAAAACAAACGCCGTGACTCGGCGATCATTGGCGACCATGGCGACCACACCACGATGTCTGGCGTTTCCACCACGCTTATACCACGCTTATGGCGACCTTGGCGCGCTCTGGGCCCATTTTCCGTCGCCGTAGCAGCGCAGTAAGGACGCTACCCCAGTGTGACGGGGGTATAACTGAACACTGCTTAGCTCGTCTCGGGTATACGAAAATGGTCGCGTACATATAGACGTATGAGTAATAATTTAGTCGAGTATGTCTACGTATACGGTCGAGTATCTGTCGGCAATGTATCCCGGCGTGCTGTTCGTGTTACGTGGGCGCAGCAGGGCCGGTAAGTTAACCCGGTCTTTTTTTGAGATATGTTAGCAGGTAACGAGTAAATATGACTGGGCTCTGAACCAAAAATCACGATAAGAAACAATTTTTTTTCCCTTCTTATTAGTTATTACCGTTTTTGAGTTATTTCCCTTAATCACTTTAATCATGTTCCAGCCATTTAGTATAAATGTTAAAGGGCTTCTTTCCTTACTTGAATTATGAACTAACGATGTACCTCTGAATGACAATAAGAAGCTAAAGATCTAATGTCACAGAGACTTGTTTCGATAGTCGTTTGACTATGTGCATTGCGGTGGGCATATGTTTCCATGAACCAAAGTATCCTCGTGACGTACACTGACGTCACGCATGAACTCGGCTATCTCCAAAGATGAATGCATACAGCATGTGCATACAGCCTGCTGGTGGTGCTGGTGGTTTCGCATGGTCATATTCCATATACTACCAAGATACTACGCTCATCAACTTCCGCATCAGACTTTCCTTACATCAAAGAATGATGCAAAAACCCTAACCCTAACCCTAACCCTAACACTAACTATAAACCAACTCGGCTATCTTATATACAATCTATGGTATCCCAAACACTATCTATGGTGTATAGATAGCCACTGACGTCACAATGACGTACACTGACGTCACGAGGATACTTTGCGGGCAAGCTTAGCGCCAGGAAACGACGATCCAATCGTTTAGCGTTTCTCATATTATATATTTGCGATAAGACTGAAATGTTATTAGATTTGTTGTTTACAAGAACAGACTTATTTCTATAACAGAAATGGGAAAATTTTGCCATTTAAGTAAGGAATGAAAATGTAGAACGTCCTATTGGCGCATCAATTAACCAAGGACGACTCCGTGCGCTTGCGTTGCTGTTGAAGCTAGAACCATAAATTCACCATAATAGGTGTCGCTGTTAACTAATTCCTACACATGGCAAATAGTCCTTCCTAGCGCACAGGGAATGTGTCGCAACAACATACCACTTTTGCATGCCAACACTATCAAAACGAAATAATTGATAATTTCTAGAATCACGCTAATGGAACCAGCTAATGATAATCATTAATATTGAGATCGAATGATTGAATCAGTCAGTTGAAGTTAAGCCACTCACGCGGAAATTAAGAGCACGAGTGTGCCATCTTCGACACGTAATCCCTATATCCACGTAATTGTCACGCGCCAATCGATTTCAATTTACGAGCGTGAAATAGTTTCACACACGCGCAAACTGAAGATACATGGGTTGAAGAGCCACCTTGCCGCATATACAGAGCAGTTAGACTTGGGCGGAAGACGCTACAGAAGCAAGGAACGCAGCTGCATACTGGAAGCAAATTAGATTGAACCTCGAACGCACAGGAAACAGCATTCAACACGTGAATGCGCGAATGCGCAATGTGATACCTACATAAGAATGCTAAATGCCCCCCTCACTGGCAATTGTTGCCGCATACAGACGGACTAGATTAAACCACGAAAGCATATAGGAAACAGCACTCATCTGCGATTCCTGCCGCATATAGAAAGCGGGTTAGATTGAACAACGGAAGCCCCTGGAAAGCTGCACTTATCGGCGAAATTGCCACATATAGAGGAAACGTGCGAGACTAAACCACACGGAAGCGTTGAGAGGTGTCACTTACCGGCGTACTTAACTCCGACCTCATTGCGCAGAACGTCTCCCTTGTCCTGGCTCGTCGGCATCTCGAAGAACGTCGACCCCTCATCGGTCCCGATCGGCAGGCCGTTGCGAGCGATGACGGCGTAGAGCGCGTTCATGGCGAGGTAGCAGAAATTCTCATCCATCACCTCCGTGTTGGTGTGCCGCTCGTAGAGGCCCTTCACGCGACGCCACCCGAACTGCGTCATCATCGTCACGACGAAGCCCGACATGGAATCGAACGAGGCGCCGACGCGCGTTACCATCGGAAACTGCGCACCGGCCACCGTCTTATTCTCACCGAAGTCTTGCACAAGAGCGCCCGGAGTCAGTAGCGGGATGTCCCAGTGCCAGTTGATGCGACCGATGGCAGCCGCAGCGTAGTCGCACACGGGACCGAAGAAAGCGCGCGTCTTCCCCTTCATGTAGAAATCAATCGCTTCGATTTGCGCGTACGTCGGCGAGCAGCGCGAGTCGGCGTACGTGAAATCGAGCTGGTGGTCGGGTAGCAGGCGATGCCTGACGATGTAGTCGTTGGCGATGTCGAGCGCGGGCCGGACGCGCGGGATGTGCGCGTACATGTGCGTGTTGTTCGGCAGGATGCACGAGATTTGCACGAGCTCCTTGTTGCCGCTGCCGACATGCGACGTCCGTCGTGAGCGTGCCCCGCTGATGCCGATCGCTAGCACGAGCATCATTGCACACAGATGCTGCGGGGCTAGTCGTCGGCCGGACGGTAGAAAACGCTGCATGGTGCTGGATGAAGAAGGAGGAAGAGGAGGCGGAGGAGGAGGAGGAGGAGGAGGAAGCAAGTGTTTGCTTATGCGTGTGTGTGTTTGTTTGTGTGTGTGCGTGTGTGTGTTTGTGTCTGTGTGTCTGTGTGCGCGTGTGCGTGCGTGCGTGCGTGCGTGCGTGCGTGCGTGCGTGCGTGCGTGTGTGTGTATGTAGTCTCGGGGACGGCGGCTTTTCGCTTGTCACCTGCGGTCAACCGCTCGGCTGGATTCACGCGCTGCGCTGCCGTGGCATCTGCCACCGGTGCCGAACGCTACGCTTTAGATCTGCACAAAAAAGGTATTGATTATTATAGCGTTACATATACGAAGGCACGCGTCCGCATAGCGCACGCGCATGCACGCGCGTGCACATACGCACACGCACTCACCTGCGCAAGCACGCGCGCACAGGCACACGTGTATGTACGCGCACACGCTTATGCGCACGCGCGGAACCATGCACGCACGCGTGCTGCGAGTTGCGAGACGAAAGACTCGGCTCAGAGTCCACGCCGGTTGAACCGCGAAATGATGCAATTAGCGATGGAGCAAGCAACCTCTATCGTCTATGTACGGGAGCAGCTTCTATCGTCTATGTACGGGAGCAGCTTCTATCGTCTATGTACGGGAGCAGCCTCTATCCTCTATGTACGGGAGCAACCTCTATCGTCTATGTACGGGAGCAGCTTCTATCGTCTATGTACGGGAGCAACCTCTATCCTCTATGTACGGGAGCAGCCTCTATCCTCTATGTACGGGAGCAACCTCTATCCTCTATGTACGGGAGCAACCTCTATCCTCTATGTACGGGAGCAGCCTCTATCCTCTATGTACGGGAGCAACCTCTATCGATCTATGTACGGGAACAACCTCTATCCTCTATGTACGGGAGCAACCTCTATCCTCTATGTACGGGAGCAACCTCTATCC